AGAGTGTTCCATCATTAGTTTCGTGGTTTTTGCGCCACTATTTTAGGATGACATTTTTGCGTGATAAATTTGATTTATTTTATTTTGTTTTATATTCTGAATTAATTCGTTTGTTCTTTGTAGTATTTTTATTTTTGTAGGGCGCCTGTAACTAACCAAATTTATTTTATTTATATGAATGACGTATTATTTTTAGAAGTTCTAAATGCTCTTTTATATCCTACACTAGTTTCAGTTAACTCCAAAATAAGTTTTCACGATGAAATAAAACAGTGCATGTTTCAGACCCTTTTCAGAACATAGGATTAATTCTAAAAATTATAATAATGCATAAGACAGTATTTGTCTGATACTAAATTTAAATCAGAATTAGAATTAGAATGAATATTGAATTTGCACAGAGGAACGGACAACGGTGCTTTGTTGAAACCCTTCATCATCCCGGAATGGTTTCAATACTTGACAACTAAGTTCCGCATACACTGACCAAAAGAAACAACGAACTGGATTGAGTGTTAACATGGGTTTCACTCCTTACCCATCACCATCGAGATCCACTGACTTGACAAGCACTCTCTATCATCCAGGAAGAATCACTCCAACTGAACTTCGCCAACCTTATCAGGAATTGAATAAAACATGCCAAACTCTCCAAGAAAACGATTTACAAGTATACGATAATTCCAAATAAAACATTAAGTATAAAACTCGGAAACCGATAATCCTATCGACTGCTATCGGGCAGTAACATCTATCGAGGAAAATAATACAGGTGATTAAACAAGTTTGTTTACGCTTCAGGAAATATTTCTTAGCAAATAAAACGCAAAGAATTCGCAATGCACATGAATCCTAAACGTCATCATCGTATGCACGTGCCGTTGATAATATCCAAGTGGTTCTATTTTCACGCGATCCTCCTTTCACATGCGCGTGGATGTACCGTTCCCTGGCGATTAATGAATCCTGAAGATAAGAGAAATTCCAATTTCATCAAGACCGGGTCTATTAACTCCGACGTAATCTCGAGTGGGTGTATCTGCGGCGAAATAAATGTTTCCTGTTCCTCGTGTCGAATTAGCACATCGATGCAATCCAATGTGACAGGGATGGTAGAGATATTTTCCTGGCCACCACTTACTTATTTTTTATTACTCTTTGTTCTGAATTTCTATTTTTCTCCGTGCTCCATAGAGTATAATATAATTATACGAGTATAAAGCCCCATTGCTTGTTTGCGTTTATTAGGTTTTTAGTGCTCTTTCACACGGGTACCCGGAAACTCAGCTCATGGGAGACGGAGTGCAGGCGCAGGACAGTCGTGTGTCGTCACAAGACAGATGGAGTTCCGACACAGTGTATCTTCTCCCACAGTTCCTGATTGTTACCAGAGACACTCTACTTTCTTTTCTCGTGCGAAATTGTCTACGTGTAATCAGAACCAGAGTGCTCGCGCCAGAAGAATATAAAGTCATTATGCGACCTTCCCCAACGAAGGAAAGAAAAGAAACAAAAAGCTAAGGATTCATGTGATTACCTAGTTCTGTCATACGGTCTGTTGCTGGCCTATTCGACTTTTGTCAAAGAAACGGGAGATATTGTCTTCTAGTAGTCAGACGCGAGCTTTGTTGGCGTTTCAATAACATCTATGCTCTATGGAACTGTACTTGCAAAATAATGGTATTATTAGAGTGGCTTTTGTCTCCAAATCTAGGTCAGAAGCTACTTTTATCAGGAAATCCTTCGGGCCATGTTCTCCAGCTCTGACTACAGTTTACAGTTAAGTGGACTCAAGTTTGCACTTTCAGGAAATTAGTCTTTAACTGTTTCTTGTTCGTTACAATACTCTGCTATCTCTAACAGGATAACTAACAGAACTAATGGATTTTGAATTTTTATAAATATTTCCTTCCAACGTTCTTCATCCCGATTTACCTTAACTATAGCCTACGGATGAGCAGTTTTAGATGGAGAAACTTTGTTCAATCCTTTCTATAAACAGATCCATAACAGAAATAGCGATACAAATAAGTTCCTCTGATATAGGCACAGCGACAAATGTCGAGACGCGAACCTGCGTGAAGACACCCGCAGAAGAAGTCACGCTGACTTTGAAATGCCATGACTTTAATGTCACCTGAACACGCACCTTAAGGGACAACTCTGTCTGCCAGATACAAGATACTGGTAACGTTACACCAGTGGAACTCGCTCGAACACTCTTCTTCGTTAACCTTAGGACTTTCAGGGTCTCGACTGACCCCACGCAAGCCTAGATTATTTACAACCTATTTTGCTTCAACCAATTTGCACACCTAGACACTAATTTATAACAGCAGATTCTGCTTTGGAATGATCTGTCATGGAAACAAATTTCAAACTGTACTTAATGCTCCTAGATCTAATTCAAAAAAATGTTTCGTACCCCTTGTGTATAAAATAATTGAAAAAATAAGAATTGATCAATAATAAAATAACAGATAAAATAATCGATTTCCTGTTAATTCCCTGTGCATAGTAAGATTTACACAAAAGTACTTCAGGAACAAAGTAACTTTATTTTACACTATCCTATATCTTTCATCTAAGAAAAGACTTATTTTTAAAACAGTGACAACCATTCCCCGAAAATCTGACAATGCAATATCATATCCTGACGAATATCCCGTGATTGTACCAATTTAAATATTTGTTTATCCTAGACGAAATACCTACAGAGTTTCTCCAGCGAGCCAGAGCAGCAACGACGTTCCTTAATGCCACGGAACGCGCTCAACCGTAGTTATGTAAATAAATGTAACTCGAAACGCCGTTAACAAAAATCCTGGTAATTTATAACGCGCCGCGCAAGCAAACGCGATACGTTATACGTGTAAACGATCTTGGGTGTGGTAACGCTACGCGAATTCTAGTGGTTCTTAAACGCTCCTAGGAATTAAAGGACTCCATGGCTCTTTGCTGACCATTTTCGCGTGAGTATCGTTTGAATAGAGCTGGACGATCATTACTCACGTCCCAGCATCGTGGATGGACTTACCTGAAACAAAAAAAAAACAAGGTTAATTAGAAAACAGTCTCACAGGAGGATCAAGATAAATTAAAATGGTTTGTTCACGTGTGCTCGAAGAGGTTTCTAAAGAAGCAATTGTAAATCGATCATCCAGAAGTGTGGCACGACTTGGGAGTCGAAACGATGGAGATTGTGGACGTTAAGAAATCATGCTCTTCTATTTTAGTTTTTATTAGACGACTACATGCCAACGCTAATAACCGTTTGATGTACCTAGAAACTAGTGCTATAGTTTCACCTAAACGTGGAAACCTATCTGGTACATGGCGATTTAACTGATGATGGAAGTCGTTAGACTTGGAATATCAAACATGCCACTTTCAGCGTCCGCAGTGTGAAATTTTTATTTATTTATTTATTTCCTGTCAGTTTAGCGAGTTTGGTATTAATCGCATTCTAAAAAGCGAAATTCCTTCGTTGAGGTAACGGAACCGTAAAAAGAAGAGTATCATGATTTATACTATAGTTTGCCTACTTTGTACATCATCCGTCATTTAATTATCTTGCTGTCAATCTTAATTCGTTACACATTTCTTCGCGAACATTGCGTTCGAAGCGTGACGTCGAAAGTTGAAAGAAAGTAATCTGGTATCAGTTTTTCGCTTCGCTTTTTGCTAAATATTCACACGGTGTTATTACTCCTTTATAAAATTTTCATTTATTAAATTATTTCTATAAAATGCTCCATAAATCAATGTTGTGAGAAAAAGGATAGACAGAAGAAGAACTAAAGAGAGGAGCTGCTTAGAATACGAACAATGCAATCTCACGTGCAGTCACCACGTAGAGAAGAACTGAAATGAAGTTTTTTTCTCGTGACTAATTTTTAAATATAGAGATGGTGTTAATGTTAGTATCCTACTGAATCACGTTAACAGTCCTCGTGTAATAACTGTCAACGACGCATCATTTCACTCTCGTAATCCTCTGCTATTTCCCACACCCTGTACATCAATGCCATCATCATCCAAATTGCCTTTTCTTACCACAACCAGCACAAGGATGCTGTTCTTTATTTTACACATTACCAACAGAAAATTGTATACATAACGTGGTATTACAAGATGCGAATAATTACCTTACTTGTCAACGTGACTCGCGCACTTTTATGCGCAACATTGAGATGTCTTTAGAAAGCTGGCATGTAAGCGTAATCATTGGTAATATTAATCTTACAAGAAATAATAATTCTTTGCGTCTGATTAAGACTTAAAAATGTTCAGAAGTATGCATCCTCCGATTAGTTAAAGAAATAAAATTATAATTGCAATTATTACAAAATAATCCCAGAATATATGCGCACTGCTATGATCGAATAACCAGGAATAGTGCTAAATCATACCTTTGCCACCGGAAATATGACATCGATACCGTTACCCCGACAGGTTTAACAAGCTACTGTATTGGCATACACTGTGACCCAAAAACGTGAGTACTCCGGAAGCGAAGAAGTGATAACATTCATCAAGCATTGCATGATAATAACAATAGTACTAGTATACATGGAAGACAGTCGTCATTAAGACCGTGTGAAAGGAAAGATGGAATAATAGTGGAAATAAAGACAATGTCTTCAGGTTAATTATCTAAAAATAAATTACATCAGCCCAACCCGTTCTTCAACATTCACTATAATACCAATTAAAAGTACAGTTAAAATAAAACAGAGATGATACTATTGATACTAGAGTAATCGAGTAATAAAATAAAGTAAAAAATTATATGAATAATTCATGAGACAGACAAAAATAAATTAATTTTAATTTATTTACTCGTGCCAGTTAGTGGCATTTACTATATATAAGCTACAAATGGGGAAAGAAAAATGATATATTATTTCACGGGCTATTTATTATTTAAATACAATTTTGCTCAACTGTACACTGAGAATCATTCAAAAAGACCGCCCACGTGATTCGACGCTAGCGCCAGAATTTATATCCAGACGCGTGACCCAGTAATATCACGAACCACGCCACACGTTTGTTTCGTGATAAGTGCTATCGATAGACGTGTATTTTCTATACCTGTATAGAGAATACAGGCAGCAACAAAGCCACACGAGGCGTACTTAGGCAAAAACACGTGTAACGGATTGCTGAAGTTACGCGGTACCAAGCACCGTGGATCGAAGACCGCGTCTTGTGCAGTTTCACGGAAGCCAGGGGTTCTGCGCATGCGACGAAAAGTAAGTAACTGCGCAGCCGTTGCGAGACCGATTGAATAACCGCGATATTACAAAGAAGCGGAACGAAACAATTGTTATAAGTCATGAGTCGTAACCGCAACTTTTACCGATTCTTATTCGATTAGACTCAGGCTCGCTTCAGAGCTGGGTGAAACGCTATTTCAAACAGTATACTGTATTTTCTTAAATAATACTTTCATTTTATCCTAAGGACACTGAAAATTGTGAGGGTTCATTTTTAAATATTCTATCTCTGTTATAGTTTACTTTCAGTTTATTTGGATATCATACTAAAACGTTGTAATTAAAAAACATCTTTTCATCATTATTTTGAACGAACATTGAATATATATGTATATACTCAAATATTTGAATATATAAAAATCCTACAAATGCTCTATGCTCTATCAAAGACGAATGTCGTAGAAAAATGTTGAAAAATGTGATAATACACAATGGCTGACTAATCTCTGACGACGGAATTACCGATCAATCGGATGAACATCCGTGCAAGCGCAATCAATTCATCGTCTTTTCACGGTTCGTTAGCGTGAATAGAGGGAACGTGCCGAAACCTACTTCGAAACGATTTTCCGTTAGGCGATGGAATTGAACCTCGTTAACCTTGACATTTTGTGCAGCACTCTCTACGCGTTTATTTTAGAAAGGCAGAATAAAGAGTGCCACGAGAGGTCTGCGAGTCGAGCAAACCCAACCGTGCCTCGATTGCTCGTCGATATTCTATCGGCACTGTTGACTTGTCAATACCTATATAGTAAGTGGCACACTTGGGTCAAACCGCAGGTGCGCGTAGCGTCTATTGTCTATAAATGCACTTCTACGTAAAACCGTGGAACCTGATAGAGAATATCAGGATACCATTTGCGCGAAACAAAGGGAGTGGACGTAAACAGATCGTCAGCTGATCGAGCTCTCATTAGTCTGATACGACATGTCGTCAAGGTTAAATAGGTTGAAACTAGGACTGAGACCACTTGTTGCATCTTTTTGCAACATTATACATTACGAAAGATAAACGTTCATTAAAAATAATTAGGTGTGCAAAGAAGCCAGGTGTAACTTACAGGTGTGTTGTTTCTAAAGCGAACCTCAATTTTTTGAATAGTCTCAGTTTTATGAATAGTAGCAATAAACAGCTGATTATTCAATGACTTCCAATACCACTGCGCTCTTGACGTCACGTGGTTTTGTTTATGCTCACTCCACTTATATCTAACCGCGAATTCTACGGTTACAGAAACTTTCAGACGAAATTGAAACTCCCATAAAAGGCGAGAGAGAATGGAACTTCTTGCAACGATTTGATTATTCGTAGCCCGCCAAATTTCACCGAATGATTCTGAAAGCATTGCTCGCTGAACGCATAAGTGTCGTTCGTTCAAATGGTACCTGGGCGAGGATTGTTCGGAAGAAAAACAAGCCGCCAGCATCGGAGGCAAGTTTCGTAACTTCGTAACCCTTTTAACCATCGATCGATGCACTATATCTGAAGACAACTTTATAAGTAGTGAGAGGTCCTTCCTCTCCAGAATAATAGTAATACTCCATATCCTTATTTTATATAAATAATAAATAATCGAGCACCTTTGATTTTCATTGACCTCCGATCTTCCAAGCACATACAAAGTTACTACCGTAGGAACAGTCCACGCGTCGCCATCGCGCAAAAACTCGCATTTCCAAGTCTTCCAGTCCCCATTAAATGACTTCGCCATCGATAGCCGTGAGAATTCTCGCGGATCTCTGCATCCACTGAATCCTAACCCATTACTTAACGCGCAAAAAATGCAATGCCCTGGCATAAAATTCCTTTAGAAACCACTCTCAACTCGCAGACTGCACGATAGTGCTACCTTGTTTCCCCTCGTTTTGATCCGCGGATGGACAACTGGTTACTTGCGAGCCACAGTCTATCTAGTCATATATAGACTATGTAGACTATCAACGGTCTATGTAGTCACCTGAGGGCATCTGACGTCCCAGACGAATAAAAATCACAGAAATGTATTACAGTCTTAAAAATATTAAACTTAAGACGCTACACACCGGTAGCTACTGACTGCGTCGTCTCAGACCATGTCTCGCGAGCACCCCAGTTGGACATGCCTGTTCTAAGCGATCGGCAAAACTGAGATTTATCCAGTAGATGAACGAGAGGATACACAAAATGAGCTTGTGTCATTACGGTACAAGCAGGTCTTAACGAGCTATCTGCTGCAAACGAACGAGCCACCGTGGACGTCGTACTTCGTGAAGTATGCCGACGTTGTCGACGATCAAAGGGGGATGTCCCACTTCAATTGGCCGGTAGGCAGCAGCAATTACCACGTACTTAGAACCGGCTGCTTTCCATACATGAAGTATCACTGCACGAAAAGGCCGCGACAGGACCTCACGAGCGAGGACAAATTCTTCAAGGCGATCAAGCTACTGAACCTTGGTACGTATGCCTCGCATACCACTCCTACGTAAAAGGTAAAAAAACGCAACGTCGAGCGGCGATATCATTGCCCTTCTACGATCGCCGGCTCGTTTCATTGACACTTTTTCGATCTGTAAATAGCCAACGTGGGGCACCGCGCCGCTGTGGTAATTGATCGTTCGTTAATTTGTATTCCGTATCCGTTTCATCAGGTATACCAACGTTGATGTACGGACTGGCAGCGACGCTGCTGATCAGACACCGGGAGGTAGTGAAAACCGCCCGAGGGGACGTGACGATCTACTTCTTACTACCCGAGGACAAGGGTTCCATGTACTGATGTAGCTGGCTTGCACATTTACGCGACATTTTGTTTTCAATGTAGAACGATGACTGAATAAAGAAGTTGTGTAGCTCGATGGGTTTGCTAATGCTACTATGAACGTTGCTTCTATTAAAGCGAGAAATAACCTGTCTCAAGCGACGATGACACGCACCATTCGAGCTTCTAATAATGCTTCGGATAGATTATTCTTGACATTTTTTGTGGCGTTCTTGTTTCTTTCTCTTGCTTTTAAGATTGATATGTTTACTATCTGGGCTCTCGGCAGAGTATCTAATAACATTACGCTGTGACCCGGGTGCGGGTCTTGGACTGTGAACGTGGCGAGTTTCACTGATTCAGTTTTGTTTGAGCACGCAAACGAGCATAATATCGCTGCGATTGCAATCCCAGGAATTTGCCCTCGAAATCAATGATTTGTCGCTTAATTGGACGTTTCCAGTAACAGAAGTTCGTAAGTAATTAACCACGATTCAGGAGATCACGCTTAATCGGTATGAAGGAAAATGTCTCGCATGCACGGGAGCACGCAGTCGAACCTCGAAAAATGCACTCTCATGGATGAAATTATTGGGTTATCCAGAAAGTTCGTGATAATTTTTAAGAAATCCAAACAAACCAATAAAACAAATGGATTATATTATTGAAAAGAATTTTGACTATATCTTATTGCAATAAATTGATACTTGGTGTTCAAATACAGATCATTTATATAGTTTAAAACTGTTCAACATCTGCTTCCAGACTGGAAATCTAGCCTGAGGCTCCAAAGCCCGCATTTGAGAGTTACAATTATGAGATATTTATTTTTCCACGTATAGATCATGTTAATGGTCAATCAATATTTCTTGCAAATGCACTGGCTTCTCAAGTATGCATGCAAAAAAAACATTAACTCCGCATTAAACCGTGAAATTGCATAATGACGTTAAAAACTGTTGCAATTGCTATCTTGCGGTGAGGACAGCTTTCGTCTTTTCAACGCTCAGGTAGCGCTAACACGCGACATGTGCGTGTAGGTACGTGACCGGTAGTGATTAACTGGCGAACCGCGGCTTTCACGATAAGAAGCGAATAAAAGTATTAATTAGCAGGTGCCTTTCACTCAGCTGTGTCAACCAGCCGGAATACGAAATGGCTTTCACCGATCTGCAACATTCAACCTTTTCCCCACACAGGTGAATTTTTATAAATTAGTGACTAAATGTTCATCGAAAGTGAACTCCGTTTCACTTTTGATCATTTTTATTTGGGACATCTACTAAGAAAATTAAGGATCACAAATTTCTATGATCACTGTTGATTCATGTTGCTTTGTATTTAAAACTATTTGTTGTTAAAGAAATATAATTCTTGTATATCATTACAATAAGTTAAGAGAATTTATCTCAGAAATGAAATTGTTAATTTTGACCACGATTATTACTAGCATGTTCCCTGGTGTACGACGATCTTGATCGTCAATCTTTTGGCATCGCTGCATAATACCGAGCTATCCCGTTGGTTATCGCGGTATCTAGAATCGCGCTATCAACCAGCCTCTACATAAAAGCATTGTACTCGGGTATAGGGAGGGACATTACCTTTCGAAACCATGCAAAGCATTCGCGATCGAACCGTACATTGTGCCTCTATACGGTGTGAAATATAGCTTGTCATAAATATTCGTGTATAACAGCTTGTAGTTTTATTATGTCTTCGAGAAATCTGACACATTCGCGTCGGTTCTTCGCTGGCAAAGACGTTGAAATATTATTGTGCTCAACCCAGAACAAATAAATAGTTTTTTTTAGAGGTAGCTTGGAGATTCCTTTTCTTAATTTTTGATATTTTAGACAGTAACATGAATAAACATTTATCAATTTATATTTTATGCTATTGAACAAATATTCACTGATTAGAATCCACCTCTTATGAGGTGGATTAAATACTCCTTTGAACATGAAACCAAGCCACGTTTCTCGGTTCAAAAAGCACGTTGGTTTCAAATAGAATAGCGAAAATACTCGTTAAATCAGATGTATGTAGGTAGATGCATTATCTCTGAACGATCGTGGCTGGAAAAACCCGAATTACGTGTGGACGTACGCTGTAATTGAATATCATGCTAGATCCAGAGATTTCGTTTTTATGAAATGCACGGAACCACTGGCGGTTACGTGAAATGCAATTTGCAATCTGCTGAAGCTAACCTTGCATGGGATCGGTACTAATTAAGAGCACCATCCAGAGCTTTTAATTAATATCCTACCTGTTGGGTCTTTCTAGCCTCGCGTAACAATTATACGAAACAGCGGTACAACTTTCTAATTGCGGCTTTTACTTCTCAAACTTTTGTAATTAAATAGCTAGTTCGATTCTTTGAGAATAAATAATTTCGACGCGAATATACCAATACGCGGGGAACAATATTTTAAACTTCATTCTCACTCTTGAAATGCAGCTGTGCGTGCACTTTGTTTTCAGGGAAAGAAAACAGGAAGTGAAAGATGCAATTAAAAGTCTTAAATGAGTAATTTTCACTCGAGTAAGTTTATTTTGCGTCGCTCGTGCGAAGCGAGACTCTTTTAGAACTACTCGTTATCGACTCTAAATTCTAAGAGAATTCTCTTCGCTGATGAGATTAGATTTTCTTTACAGACTATTGGAAACTACATAATCAAACATTTATTGTGCTGTTCGTATTTGTAACTTCGTTGAAATTCAAGAATTTTATTCAAATTTATTTTCTTTAACATTTGACTTTCAGAATTAATTTTTGTAGTTTTTCATTCAAAGCTTGTCAAGTATTAAGCACACATAGTTAACCTTATTGGGAACATATAGCCAAAGTTGCAAGAAAGTTCTTAAGAAGAGTGTTATTCAAATCAACAGCCCCCAATTCCGAGCGCCATTTTAGTCCCACATGCTACTCCGAAATTAAACGAGAGAGGGTCATATCTATTGACCAATACAATTAATCCTTTTCCCCACTAATTGTCGCCAGAAAGAACAGGGACGAAAGCACCGTTAACAAGTGATGTTAAAAAGTAGTTAGATAAACACGGATCTCGAAGTGCTCGATACTTCGAAGGCGTGCGTGTCGTCTTCGGTAGCTTCCGATTAGACTCGTGCGCGAATCACGTGGCCCGATCGTACATCTTGTATCCACGCGAGAACCGTCTCCATTCCGCACACGTGTTAACACGCGCGTGTAGGACACGGGGCCCGATCGTCCGATGAGCTCGCCACCGTTGGGGCCCGTGGTCGCGTCACGCGCAATTAATTTCACACGAGATCCGCGACCAGCCGCATTTGCATGTCCGATTGGCCGTAACGCTGAATTAGAGATGGTATCTCGCCCGTGGCTGAGACCTATTACAATATTAAATGCTTCGCCGGGCTCCAATGCCCTGGCACCACCGGGATCGCCGCGAGAAAAATTCGCGTGCTTCAGATACTAGATTGCGCTTCCCCCAGTCACCGTAGGCGTACATCTCTGCCGTAGCGGACCTTTCGACGCGAGGCTGAACACCTTTCACGATAGCGGAACTCCTGCGGGACGTTTACATATATCTGACGTTTATACCGAGAGTTTTCTGGCCGGGAGAAAACCTATCGCCGGGGATCATCGCGCGAGGACGAGTCGGAACGGTCACTTCTGCTTGTACATAGGGAATATGTAATTATGCATAATATTTCCTTAGACGTGATTAATAAATTTGTTATTTATTTGCTGGTAACGCGTGGGCAATTGTGTTGGGTCAGGTATTTTCTTCGGTTTTGCACCTGCAGGTCTATGTACGCTAGCTTCTGGCAATAGATTTTGATATTATTTTACTCGTAGTTATTTATAATTCACTTTTATGAATTATCTTGAATGATTAGAAAATAAATAAATAAGGTTGGAACGATAAAAGTAACCTAGTTGTTTGAGGATGAATTATATTCATGGTAAAGCAGTCGTCGATTAATAATTCTTGTTCCCCGCCGTCACATGACGTGAATTACTACCGAGGTCGATAAATACTTTGTCGCACTATTTACAGCCACGTACAAATGCTTTCAATTAGAAAGAGTAATTACTGACCATCTAAATGCACCTGGCACCGTGATTATTATTTAAACAGCATTCGGTGGAGGCGCATTTACGGGAATTTGCGTATCCACGTGATTGACAGGTAAATAGAATGTGTTTGATCGTATTCAGTATGTGGTTCCGTTATTAAATTGCTGTCAGGAAAACGTGCACTGTATATTCACGTGGAACGCGAGTCAGTTTCGCGCAATTAGAATTAAACAATAACGAATGCCTCTTTCATCTATTTCTCTGATAAAGTTCTGTCAATTCATGACTGACATTGAAGGGAACAAGAATTTTTATTCAGTTCGTTTAAACGTGTCGTTGCATCGACCAAAAACAGCTGTTTTATACAAATTATAAAATTATACAATTAAAAATGAATGAAACGTTAAAATTCTGAATCATCCAAGAATATATTTAAATACAAGTAACCCCGCGATATTATTCAATACTTACAACTCTCAGTGATATAACGTAATTATACGTAATAACGATCCATATCATTTCCCACTTTTATTTATTGCGAGCGAAACCGTTCCTCTTCGAACAGGTTAAAAGCTTCGCGATCTTCGGTCAAAGTTGCGCATCTATCAACTTTCTAACTTAATTCCGCGAAAGTATCGAGTCCCAGCTTGTTAAATACTCCACGTCCTTAATTAGCGTCGGCCAACGCAACTCGTTTAACCTCGACCATCTTTTTCTCGCGTGGTTAAAAATCTCGGTTATAAATTGCAACGAAATCAGTTATTCCTTCACCGTGATAGAGCGATAGGTAACGAAAGCGTGCGCATAAATCGAGCACGTTCGAAGCATCTTATTCAATCGCGAAACGGTTCGCGATTCCGTAAGCTAATTATTAGCCTGCAACAGACGCTTGAGCTGAACATATGTAAGAATTCTGATACTCCAGTTATTCAAGTTATTTATAGTGCCTGGACATGTTGTACCATATACCGCATATAATAATTAATGAATAAAATTAACATACAAGAACCTAACATACAAGAGATCTTAA